TTAGACTCTGATTGTGCCCCCATTTACGCCAATCTTATGTCTTAGTGGACTTAAACTGATCTATGTCAGCAAATTTACTGCATCTCCTGTTGAAATTAAATGTCAAGCAGTAAAGTTCAAAGCTAGCTGTCAGCAAACCGAAAAGTATAGATGAGCGCTGGTTGTATTTGCATGAAACTATGACAACGTTTGGTAAAGTCGTTTGGAGCTTATCAGGACGTCACGCTTATAGGCACTGGGTTTCTGAAGATTCCTTGGAGCTCGCTGAAGCTCATCGGTCCACTCTAGGTAATCGAGGGTTTAACGATAAACGAAAACTGTTAAGTAATGGAATTGTATAAAATTGGTGTGTGGACCGACTGCTAACGAGTTGAAAGCAGTAGCTGCGTGTGGTAACTGCTGGAACTATCAAATTATCCGCTTCACTTGCAGCAAGAAGTCTAATGAGAGTAAAACAATCTGTAAAGTTGATAATATATACCAATGTCTGGGACGATAGACAAAGATTTCGAGAAATAGTTCAAACAGCCTGATGCTCGGTGACATTGATCAGATTGTCCTGTCCTCTATACCTGTTTATGACTGATCAGCTTAACGAGTCCTCGAGGAATTATAACGCTTGGAGTGCCTGCCACTAATCACTGGGCACATATGTCTTATCACCAGAATTTTTTCAAAGATGGTGGCTACCCGTTCGTTAGGCAACCGACTGAGTTGTCCGCAAATGTTTGGGAATTAGAAAGGGTTCCAGTATCACAGAATAAATGGACTGTTAATGCTATCTTTAAAAATGGATCACGTCACCTGAATGACGATTGCCAGAAGATAAATCTACTTTCATTCTGAGGAGACTAACACACGATATAAAACAGGACTGCCGAACACTATATTTTCCTCAGGCATCAGAAAACAAAAATTTCAGTATGACAATACAGGGTCAGTGGTGTCAGCATCTCAGTTCCTTTGACGGCAGCAATAATTCACTGGTTAAGCACTCCCTAAGAAGCTCCACTATCACACTTTCCGTCACTAAAAATGACTCCAACATAACCCTTCGTATTACCATAGGTGTCCATTCTTATTGGCATTCTGCAAGCAATGAAGCATGTTCATGTCATAGGTTTTACTCTTGTACGACTTACGGTGTTGTCCTGGGACAGTCTACGGTGTATTCAGTTTTTTCTTAAGAACTTACCCGGAAAAAGTCTTTTTGTGATAATTAGGACTATATCAATGATAGAACAAACTAGGAATCGCAGAAATAATGCGATTGAATTAAAAAGTACTATATACGCACGAACGAATGCACTGTAATTGGAATTCGAAATCAGGCATTCAACATGTACAAAGGTATCGTTAGTTCATAGAAACGCCACATTCGCCACAGCTTAAATTGGAATGTTAGTGTCTGCAATCGATTGTACGTGTTCTTCTTAAGTTCATCCTGTGTCTGTTCGACAGTGTAGTGGGTAAAGACTCTGTGTTATGTAGAATGCACTCATTAGCATTAGAATTAACAACCGAAATTGGAACAGACCTACCTGGTTCCTGGAATTGTAATTGATCGACATGTCATTTGTGCATACTTAAGTCATTGATATCTAGAATTCGCCCCATAGATTTCCCGACATTCTTCAGCACAATCTTTGTGGATAGTCGAAGATCATTTTTACGATAATATGCAAATTCTGCAAACTCCAAACATCTCATATTCGACCGAAAATTCTTCCTTTTAATAGATTTGATATAGTACTTTTAGTTGCAGAATGTCTGACATTTCTATATTGCAGTAGAAAAGTATCTATCCCCTCTCCAGCCCATTAAATGTTAAGGCGGCAATATAATCAATAGAAGTTTTCGATGTCCTGACAAAATTATCTGCCTGACCATCAGAACAAAGATGTCTGGGAGTAGTTAACAGATGTTTGCACCCTATATCATTCGACCAGGTAGTGACCGTATCTGCAGCAAAGTGAGAGCCATTGTCAGTCACTAACACATTGGGAAACTCTTCTCGACTAAAAACCTTTCTTAATGTTTGAATGGTGAAGTCAGAATTTGATGAAGCTGTAAAAATACTTCAGCCCACTTCGAGAAAAAATCAATGATTACAAGTGCATAGTATTTGCCAAAAAATGGACCGCAATAGTCTGCAGGAATTCTCTGCCAGGCCTCAGACAATACTAATCATGGAGTCTACATCAAAGGCTGACTTCTCAAACCATGACGTTTCACAACTGTTTGCTTAACGACATATGTCTGTATAACGAAGTATTAGGAAAAAAATGATCAAGGTTTTTCAGGATTTTCGGATTTTTGCGTACCCGAATACCACTGATATGTTTCAGTAATAAGTCTTACGTAAGAGGACATACACTCAATATGGAACATGAGAAGGCTCACATTATAATCCGTGCAAATATTACGTGAATCTCAATAGCAAGTTACAGGACTCATTATTAGATGCTATAACAGTGGTTTGACGATTACATTAGTTCAGTGGGTAGGATGTGAGAATGACCTAAGTGTTACTTCTCGATCACTTCTGTCACTAAGTTGATTGCCTTATAGAAGTTAGGAAACAAGAATGATATCTCTCTGTGACCAGAAACGTGTTCCGATTACCCAGACACAGATCTAAAGAAACAGAGTCAACGAATTTTCGAATGCATAGTTTCAGCAGGAATTGAACTGTTGGCTAGTCTTTTGGTGGCCCTGTAGGTGACTTCAGTTTGATCGTATGAGTGACTGTTATCGAAATATACATCATCGACTTCGCTAACTTTAGTGACTAACGGAATAAACCGAGTCAAATACGAGAATGGATTTCGAATACGTAAATTTAATCCAACCACTGGTCTAAACAGGAAATCGAAGAAATAGAGGGAAGGGAGCGAAGAAAAACGAAATGGAGCTCAGTGGAGAAGGTAAGTGAGCCAAATCGATTTAACCAAGAATGACTCGATACTTATAGTCGGACAAAAATAGGTTACAGATATGTGGTGAGTACGGTAAGACATTAACACATACGCTCATATAAAAACAATCGAAGTTAATTAGCAAATAATTGATAATGTGAAAATGTGACTTCGGAAGAATGCATAGATAGGTCTCTCTGGAAGTTAGAATAACCCATCTAGGCTTGACATGGTACTAGACAATGCAGTCTTTGTTGCCCAGTATTAAGGGTGCAATAGCAATACGGGCTTTTCTGTGCGTCAAACAGTTTATCAAACTTGACAAATGTATCCACAGTCATTTTTCACCGACGTTATGGAGTATTGAACGGAATGTAGTAGGCGCCAATAGCGTTAAGGCCGCAACACTTTTCTTTGACTAGGATACCAATCTCTCTAAGGTTGGTGTTCTTCATGATCTCATAAAATTTTAAAGTAGGATTCACAAACTGTCGTCTCAAAAGCATATTTATTTTGGTTTGATTAGTTTAATGAGGCATCGTTTCCCATTAGAGTATAAGCGTCTTAGAGGTGACCTGATGGACATCCTCTTAAACACCTACTTAAGCTTAGTCCCAATACTAACCTAAGGGGTAACACCCAGAAATTGGAGACACAACATAGCAGAACGAACTGTAGACACAACTTCTACTCAAGAATTGTGAAATGCTGGAATTCGCTGCCGGCTGAGCTAGTCCAAGCGACTTCCCAGGATTCCTTTAAGAGGCAACTTGATCTATTCCTAAGGACTAAGCAAGGTATCCTACTATGATTTACAAGTTTCTTTCTCCTCCTTCACCGTTGATATACCTAGGTTCTTGCCTGGAGGTATTAATGATCCCCTGCTACTAGACACGGAAGCCTGTTAAGTGAAAGCTTCTTCTATTCCGTCCACAACCATTTGAACCGTTTTGGCTTGCTTCATAAGTAATAATATTTCTTAAGAACAACAGCTTATAAGCTACGTAGCACTCCAACTTTTGAAGTGCTTCGGTTTTCCTGAATCTTTTAGATCCTAACTGACTGTTTCTTTACAGGTTGACGTAAGCTCGTCCTCTTATCCGCCAAAACGTTTCATTTTCTAGCTAGGAATAAAGGGGACGACAAAGTCAATAATGCGGTTACCTAAGGGAAATATCGGTTTTTGCAAAGTTAATATATGTAATGTTCCAGTCTCCCGATTTTGGGAAGGTTTGAGTGTTTTCCCTAAATAGTGATGATGATATCCCGGAAACAACTCATACGGATGTAGGTTGTATTGGTGTAGATGTGCAGCAGAGGACAGGACTCTCAAAGTTGAATAAGCACATGCTAATGTCTTAATGTGTATATAAAGACGAGTCTAGAAAGACCTTGACTAATTTCTAGCCACTTTTTAGCCGACTGGAAAAATTTACTTTTCTATGGAATATCTATCCAAAGGAAAATGGTTTTACAAAACACAAGCTTGTTTCATGCATTTGATGAATCCACTGAAGTCTTTTACAGGTTAGTCTGAATGTATATTGGAGAAGCAATGACTTGCCTTTTTGTATATAGCGTATCCGTATTTCTGAGCCCTTATAACGACCTAAATAGATTTTTAAGGGTCCCTAAATTTTTCTTTAGGGTTACGTGCCTAGGGTAAGTATTAAGTGTTTAGGGTTAGTGTTTTCATCACGAACTAGTATTAGCTATAATGCGAAACCCTCTGTAGCCAAATATACTAAAATATCCCATGCAAAAATCTTAGAGGCACTATCTGGTTTGTTTGTCCACGAAATGTAATGATACCAGGTTAAAATTTTTAGGCCAAATAGTTTGTGGTTGGGATTCAGATATAGAGTCGGTTTAGCTGTTGTGTGCAATCTGCCAAGATATAATCGAGTATCAGATATGCTTATCTATCATTTTTACTTTATAGTGGCAAGACGTAACTTTCTGCCATTTTAAACGTTTTAAGCAGTATAAAAACCTACTTCTGTTGGTAGTTATACGTGGGATTTGAATTTTGTGCAAAACCCCAATGTTCATGTTATCGCCTGTAGTTATCTCGTTCTTATGTATTTATTTATTTATTTATTTGTTTATTTGAACACATAAATATTGGTACAGGGGGGCACCAAATATATATGCGCCACACAAAACAATGATAACTTGAAGAGAAGGAGAAAAGAGAAAAAAAAGTAATGAACGTGGGGAATTATAAAAAAAGGGAGAGAGAGAACAATGGTGGGGGAAACGGAAAGGTAGAATCAGAAGAGATCTTTCAGTTAAGGAAGATACAACCACTTTTTATGAAGAAAGTAAAAGAAGGTTACAGCACGATCGCCACTGGCTTCTATTCTGAGCCATATCTGATAACGTCTCTAGCCACTGCGTTACACCGTCTCTCGGACCCCAACCAGGGAGTCGCGAAGGACCAACAGAAGCTAGCCCTTTGCAGCTTTCTTTCATACCACGACACCATGTCATATACTGACCACCTCTCCGCTTTTTCCAACCAGTCCCAGAGTCGGCAAATAATGCACGACGAGGAATTCTCTGGGACGACATTCGTAGAACATGTCCAAGCCACCGAAGTCGGTGTTTCAAGATGGTGACACCAATTTCATTATCGTCTCTGTGACCGAACACTCGATGCCGAACCTCTGCATTACTGACATGGTGTTGCCACTGGATGCCAGCAATCCTTCGGAGACAGCGATGATCGAACACAGAGAGTCGTCTAACATCCTCAACTCGGAGAGGCCAGGTTTCACAAGCATAGAGCAAAACTGCTCTCACCGTCGCGTTGTAGATCCGACCTTTTACAGCCAGACTAACATCACGAAGGCTCCAAAGATGGCCCAGATTGGCATAAGCCGCTCTGACTTTCACTATACGAGCATTGATCTCATCACTCACACCACCACCAGCACTTTTTCAGCTACCTAGATACACGAACTTCTGCCAGTCTTGTAGAAGAACTTTGCACTTCGAAGGTGCAAAGCACATACCATACCTACGGACACTGATTGGCAACTGATTAAGTGCGGATTGCATGCCTTGGGCATTCTCGCACAGTAAGACAATATCATCCGCATACTCAAGGTCGAGAAGTCTTTCTCCAGGCAACAGATCCACACCACCATTACTTACATCCGTCAGAGCTGTTTCCAGAATGTCATCGATGGCAAAGTTGAAGAGGAATGGTGAGATTGGGCGACCCTGCCTAACTCCACTGCTCGAATGGAATAGTGGAGAAAGGTGGTTGTATGCCCTCACTCTGCCTGAGGTGTTTGTGTATAGGGCTTATAGGATGTTAATAAATTTCTCAGGCACATCCTTCTTCAATAGACAATCCCAGAGAACAGTTCTGTTCAACGAATCGAAGGCAGCCCTGATATCAAGAAACACTACGATTGTTGGCCTTTGATAAGTATGGCGGTGTTCTAACACTTGGCGGAGGGTGAAGATATGATCAATACATCCTCGACCAGAACGAAACCCAGCCTGCTCCTCGCGAGTCAATCCTTCTCGGGTTCTGAACAACCTACGAAGTATGACGGAAGCCAATAGTTTGGACGCAATCGGAAGTAGACTTATCCCGCGATAGTTGTTACAGGAACGACGTGAACTCTTTTTAAAGATAGGGACAACTATCGACTCATTCCATGACGTTGGTACACTCTCTAGTTCCCAGATCTTTGTAAACAACGTCGTCAGTCCCTTAGTCAAAAAGTCACCACCATCTTTAAAAAGAGCCGGAGGTAAGTCGTCTGGGCCGGGTGATTTGTAACGTTTCAAGAGTTGGAGTTCCTTGCGGACTTCTGCCTCATTTGGTGGATCAGTCGTCACCGGCCATGGAGGGCAGGACAGTCTGACCGATGTTGCCGGAGCAGCAGGCCAGTTGAACTGCCCTTCAAAGCATTCTGCCCATCGTCCAAGACGTCGATGGATGTTAGTGATTGGCGTTCCGTCATCCTCGCAGATTGTTTCGCTCACATCAGACTTCTTGCTGCCAGTGGCTCGGATGAGTTGGAAGAGCTTCCGGTAATTACCAGATGAAGCTGCTGCTTCCAACTCACTGGCACGCTCCGACCACCAGGCTTCTCGGTCCTTACGCAAGCTTTGCTCAATTTCATTACATAACAGTCGTCGTTTGTGGTCAAACTCACGGTCACCCGGAGTAGACCGACGGGCTTCAATCAGTTGTAAGGAACCAGAAGAAACCCAGTGCTTATAAGCAGGACGTTTCGCGAACCCACAACTGACTTGACCCGCCATTTTCATGGCGTGATGCAATTGCAACCAATGCTCATCTATACTTTTCGGTGGAATGGTAGCTAGCCTAGAAGCTAGCTCGGTTCGGTACTTACTAGCAACAGAAGTTGCAGCCAGCTTGCTAACATCGATCCTTTGGTGGCGGTCACTTCGTTGTCCACTGAAAAGTAAGGTAAGATTGGCGCAGACCAGAGCATGACCAGATTCCAGATGGGTACTCCACAAGGAACAGCATTCTTGTACACAACCACGCCAACGGTAGCTGATCGCGATGTGATCAATCTGAGTTCAGGCTTGAGATGCAGGACGAGGACGCCAGGTGGCACATCGGCGATGACTGTGCCGAAAGTTAGTGTTAGCCAGAAACAGGTTGTGGTCTGTGCATAGTTTCAGTAGACGGTCCCCGTTATCTGTCCTGCGATCAACGAGTCCCCATCGGCCACCTAAACGACTCTCTTCTGTGCCTAGACGCCCGACCTGAGCATTCAAGTCTCTAGCTAGTACTACAATATCTGTCGAACGCACTTTCTGGAGAAGAACAGTTAGCTGGTGGTAGAACTCGTCCTTGATTGCATCCGGGCTGCAATCTGTCTGGGCATAGGCGGAGATGACGAAAAGACATCGTTTCTCACGCCGATTTCTTCTCACTTTGATGGAACTGTCTAGTCTAACAGCACATAACCGACTGTCAATGGGGATCCAGTCGACTAGTGCTGCCTCAGCTCTTGTGCTTAGTGCGACACCAACGCCAGCAAGACCAGACGAAGATGCCACAGGGTCCCCGGATAGACGCACATAAAACAAGCTTTTTGAAGCGACAGATGGAGAGCGAACTTGTAGTACTTCACGAGAGTCTTGAATACGGGTCTCGGATAGACAACACACATCAATATTAAGACTTTCCAAAGACATAGCCAGCCCTATCTGTTGTCCGACCTGCATAAGTGTGCGAACGTTGAAGGCAGCCAGTTTGAATGGTGCACGTGGTTTCAGAAAAACTGCTTCAGTACTCATATTCGGTAGTAACATACAATTTTCAACCAGGCAGTGACTCGAGAACGTTTAGATAGAGCCGAACGTCCACCATAGGCGAGCTGCTGTCTGAGTCGAAACGGATACAAAAAGTAGAAATAGGAGATAGTGAATAAATGACGTTGTAAATAACAATAATAATAATAATACCAGTCATTTCAATGTTAGTCGGAGAGAAACGAATATTTTCTATAAGCAGATAGTTCATCATAGTTTTAGTGTGTGGGCTGAGATACTGCCCGGGTGCCCAAACCGAAGCAGGTGGTTTTCTTAGGGGGCCACACCCCGAGCCTTTGACCTAAAGGTCTAGTCCACAAGGCAGTGGAGCATCGTGAGGAGATGCAGTCCCATGGAAGCCGGTGACCAAAAGTTGGTTCATACGCCATTTGTTCCTTCAGGATACTGGAGCCCATGTGCACCATAGAATAGAATTGGGATCCGGTTATAGCGCCGGACGTTCGCTTTTCGTCCTCTCATTTTCGTAAACAACATCCCCGCCACGAAAAGGCAGTGAGTAGGACTTCCCTGGCAGAGAAGTGGAGTAAACCAACTTATTATTTGGCGCAAGATTACAGTGTCTTCATAAATTATGAAAACCATATATTAGATGCTTTATTTTCACATCTTCCATTAGTTGTCATTTACCTCCTTTATGGTTCTTCCTATTCTCCATTCTTTCTGTTCGGTTCAGTCTTCTCAACCTTTTTTTGACAGGCATTCCACTTCTGGTTGGTGTTGTATACTGCTTATATTTCTCAACATAAGTAGCATACACCGTACTCATAGATCAGTTCTTTTACAAGACCGACAGGAACCTGTGGTTGCCGAAGGTAAGAGAGGTAGCTCCCCCTCTTGAAATACCCTCACGTGGCCACGCGTATACAGCCACTACCAGGGAAGTCCTACTCATTACCTTCTCGCGGCGGGGGTGTGGTTTAGGAAATCGAGAGGATAAAAAGCGAATGTTCGGGTTGGTGGATACGGAGAATCCACCTAGGGGAGTTGGAAAACCCGGATTCCAAACTAACGGTGGCTGTTTGAAATTAATACAGGCCCTAGATAACGAAATCAATCATTTTCAATCCAGTGCAAGTTATTTTCTAAATACAGTTTCATTTCCATGGTTCTAGGCCACAGCGTTTATGGTTAGTGTTACTCTATACACGTCTAAACCGTAATAATACAAATACACATCCATTATCTTAATGATCGACATTGGTTTTTAGTGTGACTAATCAATCTTTCATCAAGTACATTCAATTGGTTAGTGAAATAGTATTTTCCTTATAAGAGTAGCTTTTCTACTTGCTTTTTGAAAAATAAACAATGTATTTTGTTCCTCGTATTTTTATTCTAGGTTCTACAATGCACATATCCAATGAAGATAACTGAAATTTTTATTAGAACAGTGAAAATAATAATAACAGTTGTCCAGTTGTATTGCGCTTCATCTGTTTCAATGAATTTTTGCCAGTAGATTCGGAAATCTGTAACAAATCATTGTTTTATCAATTGATAAAATGGCTTCTTTTCAAAAAGCACTTGAAAATCTTAATGAAGGTACAATATGCATTAGCGTATGTGTTAGTGTATGGCTGTTATTAATTGCGGCTAGAATGGATAATGTCTTGATAATTCCTTATTGGACAATATTTCTACCACTTTGGTTGTGGAAAACAATTGTTTTTGTCGGCTGGTTAGTTGGTTTAATAGTATGGTGTAAACATTGGAGAATTCATGCTGATGATTCAGAGCATAGTACATTTCTTGTTCGTGATGACCCTGCTCTCCCTTACATTCAAGCAATGTCTGTATCAGCATTTTTTCACTTTCTTATCACGTGTTCTGAAGTGTTATTATGTATTCATTTGTCAATTGAATCATCTAATCTTACTTATTTAACTATTTTATCACCATTACTAGTTGTTGGTGCGTTGGGTGTGTTCGGATTTCTTTTTGTTATGATCGACTCAAGAACAACGTTCACAGCAAATGCACGACGTCGAAGGCAACACCATTCACGATCCTTAAATAACAATACCGGTAATACTACCATTACTACTACTACTACTACTACTACGACTACTACTACCATTACTAGTACCAACACTATAAACAACAATAGTATTAACAATAATACTACTACCAACAATAGCTCAGATTCATTTGTTTTCATACCACGTTCACGTCATGCATGCTCGTTTACCTTAGAATTATGTATCGCTGCTAATCTATTACAATTATTATTTTTAATTGCTAGGCTTGATAATTGGATACGTTCAAATTGGATTGTCACTTTTATCCCATCATTTATATTATTAGCCATGGGATTTTTATTTTGTTTTGCTGGTTTAACTATTGCACTAATCACATACTTTACAGCCTTCTTTATTCCTGTAGCTCAACGTAGATTATCTGTTTGTTATTATGCTTCACACTTACTAATAGTTATTTTCTTATGTACTTCATTAATCCTTTTAGGCTTAAGATTAGATGGTTATCTTTCTGCTTCAAAAAGTAGCGCATTATTAATTTGTATACCTGTATTGTTTAGTATGTTCTTATATGCTTCTTTATCATCTGGTCCTGGTAATCCATGGTGGTTCGGTTTGAACCGTAATGTACTTCTGGCGATATTTGAATCGTGTCCAACTCTACAACTGTGTGCCAATAATCACATTAGTAAAACTAGTCTGTGGAGAGTATCTCGTTACCATGGCGATAATGGTGATGTGAATAACACATTGACGGTAGATTCTTATAATAGGAATCCTGTCGGAGTTGAATTGTAAGTTGTCTGTATAATTCTGTTTCATTATATATTTATGAGGTTGTTTTGTTAAGTTCTGGGTTTGTTAATTGCCGATATCAAGTAAATCCGTACTAAAGTTATATATGGCTATCGCTTGTATAAAAAATCACAACAATTGCATTCCAAATGAGCTATCTGGTGTTATGATATACAATGATGTTTACGTATCTTTGATGTGAAGTATAGGCTTCTCCTCCAACAGGGACCCATTTTTCATCTCCATTGAAGTTTTTTTTCTAATTGATTGATCAGTATGTAATGACCACTATTTATGTCAAGTCCTTCTTCAGTGCCGATATCATTCTATCAATCAAGTTACAATGTGTCCACTAGCCTAAGTGACTGTATTTTGCGCGCACAATGTTGAGCTGTGGCCTGAATAACGTTGACTGACCTATCTTAAAGTTCAAATAGCCATAAAAATGGGTTCGATGTGTTACCTAATTTGATGCACTATTATGCTCTTGCCTTCTTGATATTCGTCAATAGGTGAGATTTGAGAGATTTATTTAATAACAGTCTGTAAGTGATTATTTTCATTTGCTAAATTCTCACTGATGGTCATCTTGTTCAAACTAGTATTTTCGCTAAACATCAACAACTCGCAGGTCCTCCTTAACTCCGATGTTTTTTATTTTATCTAATCACCGTTGATATCAGTCATCCAATTAATTTGTATTTTTTATGCAAGTTGTTTCTCTTTTTTGTTATAACCAATTGGTATGTGTGTTTCTATATCGATTAGTTCGGGTCAGGCTGTGGAAGTCATTTGACTGAAAATCTTTTATTTGTACATCACCAACCGCCTTCACATCTATTTAATTAGCTAACTAATAACCCCGTCAGATATTCTCAAGATATGAGTTAGTTTTAATCGTTATCAGTTTATTCTGTAGTTTTCCCTTAAACTTAATCAATAGTTCTATCTTATGTTCGAGCATACACAAGTTTCCCAAATAATACTATTTTATCCCAGTATATATTCTTAGGTACATAATTAGTATGTGATTAAAGTACAAATACTTAGTCTAAAAAGAGTAATAAACTTCCACTAACTCTCAGTGATTACTAATTGCGATACTAACGTTTTAGCAGTAACTCTTGTCTGGTTATTTGCCAAACCAATCAGACAATTAGCCAGTTTTCTAAGATTGTGTGGTAAGTCAATTACAGGCATGAGCGAGATTTAATGAGTGAAATAATCGTTCCTTTTTTCAAGATCAGTCCTCCGATGCCTATTTATAAATACGTGTGAACTGTATGTTTATCTGTTCGGTATCTTACACCATTCTCCAAGCAGATTCATCTCCACCCTCTGTCTTAATAGATTGGTTAAACATTTACGAGCATCCATAGTAGTCGAACCGGGGATAAAAACAATGACGCCAGTCTTATCAATCAATTTGTAACTTGATGTCACAAATTCAAAAAATAATTGTTTTGGTTTGCATTTGTAGAGCGTTCAATAACTAGGGAAAATCTAAATCTCATTCTGTCACATATTGTTTAGAAGCGAATTTATGTTTGATGTATTCGATTATCTTTCTACATAAACCTGAAGAAACCCAGCAAATACAAGTTTGTGTTTAAGTGTACCATTTTAGATTTCTCTTTTCTCTCAGTCTTTCATTGTATTATGTAACTATCTTTATTCATCATAAAAGTTGTTATTTTGTAACTGCAACACAGCTTGCTATTCATATTTACGAAAATATTTCATCTGCAATAATGAAAGTTACAGTACGTAAATTATTTTTAAACAGAAATCTCAATTTATTACCCTTATAAATGTATTAATTATCATTTACAAATATTCTTACTCTTCGTTTGTTATTCTTGTTTTCTTAATTCAGTGTTAGATCTACTATAACTACCACCAATCCACCTGTTACTGTTGCATGTGGACTAACTAATTCACATAACGTAAAACCTTGTCCAAATTGTGCAGTTGGTTGTTGTAATTGGTGTTCATCATCAGCATCACCATCATCATCAACAAACAGTAAGAAAAATATCCACTGGTCGAATGTCAATATTTCGTCAGAAATTTCTCAGTTTTGCAACTCTTTTCATTATTCAGATCATTTACTTTATCCAGATTAAAACTGGTTCTACGCAGTTTTTATGATCATTGTCATCATCATTATCAACATACACTACTTCTCTCATTTGTAACTAGTAATCACATAGCTGTATTTCATACACACTTGTTAATACATATAAATCACTTTTCTGTTCCCGAATTTTTTCATTTACTTGTAGAATTTCCATCTTATCATTATCGTAGTCACTGAAACATACTTATTCGGGATAATATCAAAGCATTTTCGTTTTTTTTATGAAATTAGTTGTTACTTCCTTTCGTTCATATCTATTTGTTGATTTGTAAACTGATTTCCTTCATCGAACACTAATTTATTGTAGCTGCTTCTCTTCCTTTTTTGTTTTCAATTTTCATCCATATCTTTTAATTTGTTTTAAAACTCAGTGGAAGTATTCACAAAAGGATATACATAGCTTTGCGTATATTTTGCGCAGTTGTATCATTCTCCGTGTTTAGGTGTGAATACATATATAATCTAAATGTATGTTACAATAGTCGTATTTTACAGCCTATTTTGTGATATTTCGTTATTCGAATTACTATCATTGTTATTACTATAAATAACACCATCTTTTTTACCAAGTGGAAATGTTAATCACAAAATTCAAATGGTCTACTTATTATTAATAATTTATTGAGAAACGTTTAATGGTACAAACAAGTGGTTTTATTATCATTGATATATTAGTTACTTTTCCTGATTCAAGTTGTATTTAGTATTAATGGTGAGAATTGGTGTAATGCTTGCATGTTGTATCGTATTGCGCTAATCGGATATAAAGGGTTTAAATGTTTTAAGTATTCATTATTGAACTCAACGTAAATTTACTTTCTGTAAAATATAAATTATTAAAAAAAACAAGGAGGAAAATTCATTAATTATAAACGACGATCATTTAACTATAGTTTATGTGAATTGTTTCTAGTTTGTCTGTGTTGTAAGATGTAAATGGTTCATAGTTATGATTAATATTATTCCGGCGAAGACTATTTAGATAACACATACTAACATATGTAGACGCCAAATGTCTTAATTAAAAGTTTTTTCCATTGGCCTAGATAACTCTACTTCATTGCATAAAAAAATTTGACAGATAGGGCAAATACTAACATAGAGCGCAATTAAAAATTATCTATCTCGTTTTAGTAATTAATTGCGTAACAGCGCACAACCTTGACTATTCGCTCAATTTAATTAGAGATTTTTGAGGTCGCTGATAATAACGACATCCTATCAATGAACTTGCACTGCTTTACATACATGCAATACAAAATCTAATTTCTGTACTATTTGCTTACTATTCTTATAAGTAGACATCTTTTTGATGTGCTTTGTTTAGTATCAAAGATAATAAAGTAACGTAGATCCGGGAGTCATTAGTATTCCTTTTAGCCACACGGTATGGACATTTGTTCTTTTTGTATTGTCGTTCTCCATGTCAGTCAAATAATATAGAATGTAGATATGTTTTTTAAATAATTTAAAAAAACAATGTACGACGCTAAAACGACTTTGATACAACTCAGTTCAGTATAGGTCGAAAGACGGTTGGACTTAGTATGACGAATAATGATTAAGATCTATAGTTTAAAACCAAATCGGGAGATTCTATCGAGAACTGATATTTGTTAAAATGACAAAATGCCATTTAGTTGTATAGGTGGATGAATTTCGTGCAGAAACGCAAGATTAGCCGCCCCAAATCTAATTGGTTCCTCCAAAAATTATAATGTCACCGAAATTCTCATTTTCTCCCTGGGAGATAGAATATTTTGAGGAAATTTCTCGGTGTAAGGTAATTTAGCAGACATTTTGGGGTAAGGTAGACCTTTCGAATTTTTCAAGCAAATATCGCATTCTATCTTGAAATTCAGCAATTGGCAGTTCAACTAGCTACAATTGTAACAGAATAAACATTTAGAATCCCTATACGGAATTCTGTTGGACAGTATTTTCATTTCATTGTTTCTTCTCCCTGTCTTGTATTTTACTCTATATTCAGGTCTCTTTAAACCGCGCATTATGCGGCCTTGGTTAAAGATTTATGTTTTGTTACTGATTTTTACTGTTGCAAATTGCCGGACTGTTGACAATTAGGTCGTGTTTGACTTAACACAAGTTCACGGTGTGGTTCGGTATATGACTGTTAACCTGTGACTGTCTGCTGGGAAAGGTTACTGGAGATTGGATTGGTGCATGCTGTGTTGTACCGCAGAATCTTGCTTTTCCTTTTGTGTATATTGAGTGAGACCTACTGCTGCTGCTACACTGGTCATCTTCCACTGCATATGTTGTCATTCTTTCCAGTCTTTGGTACCTGTTCCTCATCCCAAATCTTTCTGAAGAGAATGTACAGTATCTTTGCAGTTTCCGCTACGTCTGCCTTCATTGTCTCTGCTGGAATGTTGTCTGGTCCTGCTGCTTTGCTACTCTTGCTTTGTCTTACAGCCATGCTGATTTCTTCAATTGTTGGTGGGTCAAAATCGATTGGGAGGTCCGTGAGTGATGCTTCGATGTTGGGTGGGTCCAGCGGTGCTGGTCGATTCAAGAGTTCTTTGAAGTAATCTACCCACCTGTTTCGTTGTTCTTCAATGTTGGTGATTATCTTGCCTTCCTTGCTTTTCACTGGTCGTTCTGGTTTACGGTGATTTCCGGAGAGTTTCTTTGCTGTTTCATACAGTTGTCTCATGTTTCCTTCTCTGGCAGCCTTTTCCGCCGTCGATGCCAAATCTTCCACATATTTACGTTTGTCAGTTCTGATGCTCCTTTTCACTTGCTTGTTTACTTCTGTGTATTCAGCCTGTGCCTTGACTTTTTCTGCTCTTGTTCGACTGGTATTGATTGCTGCTTTTTTGTTCCTCCTTTCTTGAATCTTATCCAGTGTATCGACCGTGATCCAATCCTCGTGATGGTGCTTCTTTTGGCCCAGAACCTCATGACATGTTGAAGTGATTGCCTCTTTTATCTCTTTCCAGTTGCTCTCCATAGTAGTTCCCTCTCCATTGAATAGATCATGAAATGCCTGGAACCTATTTTTGAGGGCTATCTTGAATTTGTTTAGTTTGTCTGGATCCCGAAGAAGAGCCGTATTAAACTTTTGTGATATTGCCCGCCCCGTTGTCCAGTGCTTCTTGAGTTTCAATTTCATCTTGGCGACCAGCAAGTGATGATCTGATGCAATATCAGCTCCTCTCTTGGTTCTCACGTCCTCCATCGTCCTCCTGAACTTTTTGTTGATGTAGATATAGTCGATTTGGTTCTGTGTGGTGTGATCTGGTGAAGTCCATGTGGTTTTGTGTATGCGTTTATGTGGGAATATAGTCCCGCCTATGACCAGTTTATTGAAGGCACATATATTTACAAATCTGTCACCATTTTCGTTCCTTTCTCTCAGTCCGTGTCGTCCCATGATCATTTCATATCCGGTGTTGTCAATTCCAACCTTTGCATTTAAATCTCCCATCAGAATGGTCAGGTCGTTTGTTGGGCACTTCTCGACGATTTACTGCAGCCTATCGTAGAATTGATCTTAAGCGTCTTCATTGTAGTCGTTGGTAGGTGCGTAGCATTGGATGACGTTCATTGAAATGCCCTCTTTCTTTGTTTTGAAGGAGGCTTTGGTGATCCTTGGTCCATGAGATTGCCATCCTATAAGTGCATTTTGTGCTTGTTTAGATAGAATCAATCCAACTCCTTGTGTATGTGGGGCATTTTCTTCTTCATGTCCGGAGTATAACAGAAGCTTCCCTGAAGCTAGTCTTTGTTGTCCCACTTGCGTCCAATGTGTTTCACTGATCCCAAGCACCTCTAAATTGCATCCCCTTATTTCTGCAGCAATTTGGAAAACTCTCTCAGTCTCCCACATTGTAGGATCATTCCATATACCTAAATTAATGGTTAGGGTTATTATATTGTAGCTTAAACAGTTTCAGTAAATGGATAAGAACTAGCTCATTTACTTTAGTGTGTGATACAGTATATTGTTTAAATTTTCATTTGATAAAACTGGTTATCCTCATAGCTTTGTAATTAAACTTGTTAATGAGGTTTAATATCTTTTTTATAATACTTCAAGAAGTAATTGAAACTTGTGTTTTCATCTTATTATAATCACCTATGAATATGCAGCTAGTTATGTATCGGAAAGCGTAATTTGTTTTTGTCCTCTTTATTTAGATATCAGCTTTGCTCTTTAAATTACATCTTAAAATATTGGATTTTTCATGGTGTACTTGAGGATCCTGCTATTTCATTTATGTACGCTGAGGCCTACTGATGCCTAGGCTTCTTCTGCACTGGCTTTCTTAATCTGTGTTTGTTCGTGCATATGTGGTAGAAAGGCCGAACCATCTGAGATGTCCGAATATTCTAACTGCATCCAAGTTTTCCATTGTATTCCACTCTTCTTTTGAGATGTGGAGGTTTTCGTAATCCAGTCAAACACCAGAAGAAATAGAAAGGGGAAGAGTAAGCAGCTATGTCTGACTTAGGTCCTTTCTAGGAATGCGTCTCTCAGCTTTCCCATCACACACCACTTTGTAGCGTAGTCCGTCGTGTGAATACCAGATGATGTCAATTTTCTCAGGCACACCAGAGTGTAAAATAAGATTCCATAAACTCCCCCAGTCTATGTTGTCAAACGCCTTTTCATGGGCAAGGAAATTGATGTACGGCGAATGATTGTTCGACGATGATCCACAGTGTCGCGATTCGGTCTGTGCACTATCGATAATCACAGAATCCGATCTGTTTGTCCACAGAATCTTTCATCAGGTTAGGCGAAATTCTGTTGAATCCTCTACTGGTACCAACATTAGTGTTACCCTTGTAGTTCACTCATTTGCTCAAATCTCCTTTATGGGTATCTTGGTTAGATATCGTTTGTCAGCACTTTTCCTTATCCAAACTCTTCTTGAATGGAATGTTGAGCATGTTTGAAGTTGCTTCTATGTCTGACTTCAGTGCTTCAAGTGGTATGTTGTCTGGTCCTGCTAATTT